TAGGGCCTCGGTAGGGCTTCAGTATTGTACAGCGGCACCTTACCACCCGTGCCACCACAAACCTCATGTCTTTTATTAGTTTAAGTTAAATTAATTATTTATTTATAAAAATTATTTATTTAACTTTATTATTATTTTTAAGTTTGTTATAGGACATGTGTCCTCACCAGAGAGACAGAGAGAGAGGATAAGTGAAAAAGCAAGCCACCAGGTTCAGGACTTGAACCATGGTTGGCTGTGTGGCAATCCAGTACCTCAACCATCATGCCACCTGCTGGCCCCTAATTTTATTTTTTAAGAGAGATATTTGCTATGTGGCATGTGAGCTCACCAGAGAGGCAGAAAGTGAGAAATCATCCATCAAGGGGGATGACCATGCTGTAACCCCTTTTCCTCCTGTCTCCTCTTGGGATTTGGGGCACGTACACACATACGCCCTGAGTGAGTTTTACGTCCCCGAGTCTGGGACTCAAACTGTGGTTGACTACATGGGAGTCCAGCAGCATAACCATTACGCCATCTGCTGGTTCCTTTCATTTTTTTTAGTTTGCTGTAGGGCATGTGCATTTGCCAATAGACAAAGCACCTCCCCAGGGGTATGGCCATGCTTTGATCCCTTCTCCATTCTTCTCTCAGGATTTTAGGCATGCATGCACATGTGCCTGGTATGTTTTTCAGGCTGCTGGGTCTGAAACTCGAATTGCATGCTCAGCCATGTGGCATCCAGCCACTTTAACCATGATGCCACTTGCTGGCTCTCTCTGTTTTTTTTTTTTTAATTATTTTTTATTTAATTTTATTTATTCATTCTTTTTAATATGACCAGAGAGAGAGAGAGGGAGGGAGGGAAAGTGAGAAGGCAAGTTGCCGTATCTGGGACTTGAACTGTGGTTGGCCATGTGGGAGTCCAGCACCTTAACTACTGTACCTTTCTCTGGCTCCATATAGTTTCTTTTATTTTTTTAAAAATTTTTAAATGATTTATTTAATTTTATTTATTCATTCTTTTTAATATGACCAGAGAGAGAGAGAGGGAGGGAGGGAAAGTGAGAAAGCAAGCCACTAGGTCCAAGACTGGAACTGTGGTCAGCTATTTGGGAGTGTCCTGTGTCTTAACCACCTTGCCACCTGCTGGCCTCCTTCATATGATATTTTTTAGTAACCCCCTCAAATACACTAACATAGCCAGAGGAATCTTGAAATACTTATTTTTCTGTAAATAATCAAATAATTCCAAGTTTACATTTCCTTCCAAACCACATACTGTGAAGTCTTGCCTCTTTTTATTGTATACAGTCTCTAAATTTTGAGCATTTGACTATAAACTTATCTATCTTCAGATGAATCAAGAAAATGTAAAAAGCAGAGTTAAAATTAGAATAAACAGAATGGTTCACCATCAGCATTCCTGTTTCTTTTTTTTAGAGAGACTTTTGTGCCATATGGCGCACACGCTCACTAGAAAGACAGAGACAGAAAGCAAGTAATCACCCCCCCGGGGTGGATGACCTTGCCATAGTCCCTTCTGTTCCATTCTCCTCTTGGGATATTGGGCACACGTACATCGCCTGGCATGAGTTTCAAGCTACCAGGTCCAGGACTCGAACTGTGGTTGACTATGTTAGAGTCCAGTGCCCTAGCCACTGTGCTCCCTGCTGGCCCTCAAAAACAAATCCTTTTTAAGAAACTAAATACTGTTTGTACATTTGTCCAAAGAAAGGAGTGAGTATCTGAAAATAAATGTTCAACAGTGTTCAGTTGGGTGAATAATTTACTCCCCAGAGTTGGTTCTGTGATCGATGTTTTATTTCTGTGTGTGTATTACATGCATTCTGGTGAATGACAAAACATATAATTATCTTACTGAAGTACCTTTAACTTGTCAAAGGCATACTATATAGAAAAAGAATAAGGTTGATTTATTATGTACTAATATTAAAAGATCATCTGTATCTTTAATTGACAGTGATTTAAAAATAAAATTTGCCTTAGGGCACTTGTGCTTGCCCGAGAAAGAGAGAAAGTGAGACATCATCCCCCACCCCTCCGAGGATGGCCATTCTGCAGGATGGCCATTCTGCAATCCCTTCTCCTTCATCTCTCCCTTCTCTAAGGATTTTGGGCACACATGCACAGGCACCCGGCATGTTTTGCAAGCTGCTAGTCTGGGACTTGAATCGCAAAGTCGGCCTTGATTGATGTAATGCCTTAACCACCATGCCACCTGATGGCCTGGCAGTGGTTGTTTTTTGTTGTTGTTGTTGTTTTTGTTTTTTAATTTGCTAGGTGGTGGGTACACTGGCTGGAAAGATAGAGGGAGAAAGGTCGGGGATGGAGAAAGCACTTCCCTTGGGGGATGGCCACATCACAATCCCACTTCTGTTCTATCAGTATTTTGGGCGAGCACGCACATGTGCCTGGCATGTTTTTCAAGCTCCCGGATCTAGAGCTCGAACTGCACAGTCAGCCGTGTGGGATCTAGCTTCCTTGATCGCCATGCCACTGGCTGGCCCAAAAAATGGTATTTTAGATCATGAAAAAAAAGAGTGTATGTATGTATGTGGTCTCACTATGAGGGAATAGAGGGCGTGTCTGTGTAACAAATAATCAAGATAGACTTTTTTTTTGTGTAGGATGGAGTAGAGGGAGGGAGTCCTTTTTGGTTGTTTCTTTAATCCTCTTATAGTGCTTGGTATTTATTAAAAAATCATATTCATTTATTACTTTTTAAAAATTTTATTTGTTTATTTATTTATTTTGGAGAGGTTTTTTGCTATAGGGCACATGCGCTCACCAGAAAGATGGACAGAGAGACAGAAAGCGAGAAATCACCCCCTAGGGTGAATGGCCATGCTGCAATTCCTTCTCCTCCATTCTCCTCTTGGGATCTTATGCACATGTGCTCAGCGTGAGTTTAAGCCACCCTGTCTGGGACTTGAACCACTGTCGACCACATGGGAGTCCAGCGACTTAGCCATTACACCATCTGCTGGTCTCTATTTATTTATTTTTAATTTGAGGAGAGAAGGAGAGCGAGCGAGAGAGAGAGACAGAGAGGGAAAGTGAGAAAGCAAGCTGCCAGACCCAGGACTTGAACCTTGGTCAGCCATGTGGGAGTCCATTGCCTTTTACAACCACACTACTTGCTGGCCCAAATTTTAAAAAATTTAGGAAGGTCAGCAGGTGGTGTGGTGGTTAAGGAGCTGGATTCCCACATGGCTGACTGTGGTTCGAGTCTTAGGTCTGGTGGCTTGCTTTCTCATTTTCTCTCTGTCTGTCTGTCTCTCTCTGGTCAAATTAAAAATAATAATAAACATAATAAATTCTTTAAAAAATGTTTAAGAGAAAACCGTCTCTATTAGTTTCCTAAGGCTTCCATAATGAAATACCATAAACCAGGTGACTTAAAGCAATATAAATGTATCGTCTCACAGTTGTCATAGGCCGAAAGTCCAAAATCATGTTGTGGACAGGGCCCTGGTCCCTCGAGCTGTCGGCAAGAGTCCTCCCTTGCTCCTTCCTAGCTTCTTGTGGTTGACCAGCCATCCTTGGTGTTCTTGACTTGCAGTTGTAGCACTTCAATCTCTGCCTCCATTGTCACATATCCCCTTGTCACATGGCATTATCCCCTTATGTGTCTGTGTCCCTGTGTCTCATCTCTTATGATAAGGACACTAGTCATACTGGGGTCAGGACTGCAATGTGGATTTTGGGGGGACAGAATTCAACTTGTGACACATCTTGATGTTCATATGGCAACAAGACAAGTAGGTTAGTAACTAAAGTTACAGCCGTTTGTGTGTAAAGCAATTTAGACTTTTTTTTTGTTTTTTAGCTTCAGAAAAAATGCTAAAAGCATGGAAAGAAATGGAAGAAAAGGCCATCCATTACGCTGAGGTAAAATCATTGAGCCCATTTTGCACTTATTAATTCTCTATGTTTCCACAGAAATTATTTTTGGTTTTGGTATATAAAGAATTACTTCTGTCATTCCTGAATATTAGATAAACACTGGGTTTGTCAGAAATGTCGTGACATGTTTTTTCTATGTTTTTCTGTGTCAAATTGATCATGACTTCTGACAGCCCAGTATCTTACACTTGCTTTGTATATTTAGAGGGAGGTACCACAGCTGATGAAAACAAGGGCTTTGGGTAAATTGCTTAGTCTCACTGAGCTTTAGTTTACTTATTATATTATAGGGACAATACCTTTCCTAGTGTGGTTATAAAGATTAAATGAGAGTCAATATTAAGTGGTAGTTACTGCTGTTTTTATAACTGGTTTAGATTGGGTGACTGGACATCTTGGTTTACCGTGAACAGTCCCAGGTTATACCTGGTGTTTTAACCACGATTGTCACTAGTGCTTCCTTTCACTCTCGGAATCATGCTGGTTTAGACAATAAGTTATCTGGTCTCTCATGGTGCACAAGTCACTCTAGGTCAAGATCCCCACTGCCCACACACAGTGGTAGATGGGAAGGGTATGAGCAATCAAGCAAGCTAGGCTTGGCCTGTGTGTGCAGCTGCTCCCCATGCGCCCACTGCTGCCTGCGCTCCGCCTCCTGTCAGATCAGTAGCAGTACTGGATTCTCATGGGAGCGTGGACCCTATTCATTGTGCATTGCAGTGTGGTAGTGGTGGAAATGGGGTGCACAGTGGATGTGTTACACTTGAGTCATCCCAGGACCAACGCTTCCCCACCCCCTCCATGGAGGGATCGTCTTCCATGAGGCTGGGCCCTGGTGCCAGGAAAGCAGGCCCGCAGTGGTAGCTGTTGCCCTGTACAGCTGCTCATGGCCCTAGAGGGTTGCTCTCCTTGATGCCACAGCTTACCCTGAGAATGTGGGTGGGACAGTTGATATCTTGGGGCGAAAAATTCTGGTTCTTTATCTTTTTGTGTCCTTATTCAAGGCAGTCAATGAGAATCATAGAGAATACCAGTGGCTTTCTTTTCTTTTTAAATTTTAAAAAAAGAATTACTTATTTCCATTTTGTTAGGTTTTTATTTAACCAGAGGGGGAGAGAGACCGAGAGAGAGAAGGGGAGAAACCATGTCACCAGGTCCAGGACTTGAACCATGGTTGGCCATGTGGGAATCCAGCGTCCTTAACCTCCACACCACCTGCCAGCCCCACCAGTGGTTTTCGTGGCAACTTTTCTGTCTTGTTACTGACACCTCTCCTTTTTTGCCTCTCCAGAGGAAAAAGCGAATGCTAGTAGTAATTTGCTGTTATCAAGAGAGAAAAGAGAACATAGGAATAAGGATGTTCTTTGGAAAGACTAAGTGTCAGAATATGAAGGATATAAAGACTTCAATAAAATGAGTGAATTTTTAAAAAAATGTTATTTTAGGGACCAGCAGATGGCATAATGGCTACAGTGCTAGAATTCCATGTAGTCAACTTTGGTTCAAGTCCCAGACCCAGCAGCTTAAAATTCACACCAGGCACATGTGCTTGCATGCCCTGAGAGGAGAATGGAGGAGAAAGGACTGCAGCGTGCCATCCTCCCTGGGGAGTAGTTTCTTGCTTTCTGTCTCTCCAGTGAGCACATGTGCCCTATAGCAAAAATATCTCTAAAAAAAATGTTTTTTTAATTTGAATTGCCAGAGCACACAAGCACTCATCAGAGAGAGAGAGAATCGCCCAGTGGAGTGTGGTCATGCTGTGGTCCTTTTTCCTCCATTTCTCCATCCCATCAAGATTTTGGGCTCACATGTGCCACTGTCCCGCATATTCCTCAAGCTAGTGGGTCCAGAACTCAAATGCGTGGTTGGCCATGTGGGATCCAGCTGCCTCAATGACTAGCTCACAGGCCGGCCCATCTAGCATGTTTTTCAAGTCATCAGGCTGGCATTCCAACCACAGTCAGCCATGTACAGTCTAGTTCCCGATGCCCTGCATCTAACCATCGCACCACAGGACTAGCCCAAAATCAGTGCTTTATATTAAATTACTTAGTTCTTCTACTGCAGCAGCAAGTCCTTCTATCCTTAAGCCTTGACTTTTCTTTCATACTGTATGATGAGAAGCTTTTCATTTCCTTTGTTTCTTTATCGTACTGTAGGTTGGTGTCATTGGATACCTAGAGGATCAGATTATGTCCTTGCACACTGAGATCATGGAGCTACAGAAAAGTCCCTACGGAAGACGTCAGGGAGACTTGATGGAATCTTTGTAAGTATAGTCTCATTAGTCTTTTTTATTTTTGGAGAGGTGTTTGCTATAGGACGCGTGTACTCTCCCAGAGACGGAGAGATAGGAAGCGAAATCACTCCCGGGGGGGATGGCCATGCCGCAATCCCTTCTCCTCCATTCTCCTCTTGGGATCTTGGGTACACACACACACATGCACATGCCCAGCATGAGTTTAAGCCACCGGGTCTGGGACTTGAACCATGGTTGACTACATGGGAGTCCAGCAACATAGCTATTATGCCAACTGCTGGTCCCTGTTTGTAGTTTTTTCTTTTGGCTCACATCTGGCGGATTCTGCTCTGTATGTTTTTTCACTTATTCTTAGCCAAAAGGTCAAGAAGTGATTGTGTGGTTCTTTTCTACAGTTTTACTTACCCCAGATATATCGGCATCTTTTTTTTTTTTTTTAATTTTTTTTATTTAAGGTTTTTGCACAGAGCCCATGTGCTCTCCAGAGAGGGACAGAGGGAGAGAGAAGGTGAGAAATCACCCCCCACACTGCATGCCACACTGCAAACCCTTCTCCATTCTTCTGGAATTTTGGGTGGCCACGCACGCACACCCAGAGTGATTTTCAAGCCATCAAGTCTGGGACTTGAACCACAGTCGGCCATGGCAGAGTCCAGTGCCCTAACCACTATGCTACATGATGACCCTTTGGCATTATATTTTAAAAGGAAACTTAGTTACAGAAAATTTGGGAAATAACTCTTTGAGTTGACCTTCTTTGCCTTTTAAATAAAAGCTACTCTTTCATATGACTGTTAAGAATTTTCCAACTATACCTAAGTTACACATTTCCCTTATACTTCTGGATCAAGATATTGCCTCTTTAATGCCCCAAATGAGTCAACTTTCCAAGTATCTGGATTATAACTTCATATTTTTTCTATAATTACAGACCATAATTTTTGCTTTTTAAGTGTTCTGGATGCAAGCAGGTTGTATTTGTGTCTGTAGATCAAAGCATCTATCAAGTATATTAAAACTTCACATTTTAAGAACTTCTATAGTGGGACCAGCAGTTAGCGTAATGGCTATGTTGCTGGACTCCCATGTAGTTGACCGTGGTTCGAGTCCTGGACCTGGCAGCTTAAACTCACGCGGTGCACGTGTGCGTGCATGTCCAAAATCCTGAGAGGAGAATGGAGGAGAAGGGATTGCGGCGTGGCCATCCCCCCTGGGGGGGTGATTTCTTGCTTTCTGTCTCTCTCTGTCTTTCTGGCGAGCGCATGCGCCCTATAGCAAACCCCCCCCCGAGCCGCTTTCAGCACCCCCCCCCCCCCAAAAAAAAAGAACTTCTATAGTTCTTGTTATTCAATGAAATACTCGGTAAAATATTCATTGGCCCTATGTACTTGCTTTGAAATGGGATCATTATTCAGATAATCAGTATTGTTCATTTCCAGTTGTGGATTATTTGAGTCATTAGATTACTTTCTCATATATAGGTATGTTTTCTTTTATAGGGAACAGCGTGCCATTGATCTGTACAAGCAGCTAAAGCACAGGCCTTCAGGTAAGATGCTTCCAGTCACAGTACATGAAGGCATTTTGGAAACAACCATTAAAAAAATCAGGGGGAATTTTATATGTTTTAAAAGCTACAGAATAAATTTCAATGTGATATTGCCATTGAGACATCTGTGGTACACTAGTTTTCAATTTGTGAAAATTTACGAGATTAGGAAGGGAAAGTAATAAGGAAAGTGAGGTAGAAACATTTTTAAAGGGAATTGAAAAGAAGAAATCAAAAGGAAAAAAAGGAACTAGAAAAGAGGAAGATAAAGAAAGAAGCTGTAGAAAGATGGGAAACTAAGTGCTGCTTAAGATGAGAAGATTGGGAAGATGCAGTGGGTTCAGGTGCAACGTGGTTAGAGAGAAGGCCCGCATTCTAGGCCAGAGCAGTTGACCTTGAAGTGCTGCCTCCATCTGCACTGATCACCAGCTGCCTGATTCCTTGGCCCAACAGTTCCTCTTGAACATCTGCTGAAAACACAGAGTATGGTCTGCTGGAAAGAGCCCGATTGGGAATCAGACAGCTTAAATTCTAGATTGGTGCTTTACTGACCACATGACCCTAGGCAAATCTCCCTGTGTCTTATTTCCCACCTTCCAAACAGGGTTGAAGGGTAGCTTTCTTAACTCTGGTATGTTGTGTCAGTGTATTTAAGAGGATGTATATGAAAATGCTTTGGGGGACCAGCAGTTAGCATAATGGCTATGTCGCTGGACTCCCACGTAGTCGACCGTGGTTCGAGTCCCGGACCCGGTGGCTTAAACTCACACCGGGCGCCTGTGCATGCGTGCGTACCCAAGATCCCAAGAGGAGAATGGAGGAGAAGGGATTGCAGTGTGGCCATCCCCCCTGGGGGGTGATTTCTCACTTTCTATCTCTCCGTCTCTGTCTGGTGAGCACACGTGCCCTATAGCAAAACCTCTCCGTCTTAAGAAAAACCCCACAAAAAAAAAAAAAAAAAAAAAGCAAAAAAAAAAGCTTTGGAAACTGTGCAGTGTTATGTATCTGCAAAATGTTATCATTTAGTTAAAATTTTATTTGTTTTGAAAAGTTGGAGAAGGAATAAAAAGTGAAATCTGTGCCCTAATGCACAGTATACTCAAGTTACTTTTTAAAAGGATGTATTATGCTTAAAAATTTGCCAACATATAGGAACACATGTAAATTAATATGCATGTGGGGGCCAGCAGGTGGTATAAGTGGTTAAGGTGCTGGACTCCAATATGACCAACTGCGGTTCAAGTCCCGGACCTGGCAACTTGAAACTTATGCCAGGTGCATGTGCATGTATGCCCAAAATCGTGAGAGGAGAATGAAGGAGAAGAGATTGCAGTGTGGCCATATCTCACTTTCTCCCTGTCTGGGTCCCAGCATAATTCTGTGCCTATGGCAATATGTGTCTGATAGCAAAAATCTCTCTCTTTTCTTTTTTTGGAGAGGTTTTTGCTATAGGGCGCGTGCACTCGCCAGAAAGACAGAGAGAGACAGAGAGCGAGAAATCACCCCCCCGGGGGGGGCGGTGGCTACCCCACAATCCTTTCTCCATTCTCCTCTCAGGATCTTGGGTGTGCATGCACACACGCCTGGCTTGAGTTTAAGCCACTGTGTCTGGGACTCAAACTGTGTTGTACTACATGGGAGTCCAGCAACGTAGTCGTTACGCCAACTGCTGGTACCAAAAATCTCTCTGTTTAAAAAAAGAAATTGACACACACACACACACACACACACGAAATTGCATTTAAAAAGAACAGGACTGCCTCTTACACTGGTTGTTATTATAGTGAAGTTTGTTCAGTTTATCTCTACAGACATTTATAAAGTATACTTTTTTAAAGAATTATTTATTTAATTTTATTTGTTACTATTATTTATTTATATTTTCAATTTGATCAGAAAGAGTAAGCAGGCTATCCCATATGGGAGTCCAGTGCCTTAACCACCATGCTTCCTGCTGGCCCCAATAAAGTACACTTAAGGCAGAGAGGAGAATCCTACATAGCACACATGCCTGGTGTGATTTTCAAGCTGCTGGGTTCGGGACTCAAACCGTGCAGTTGACCATGTAGGATCTAGTGCCTTAACCTTCATGTCACCTGCTGGTCAAAAGACATACTTTTTAGAAGTCTCCTTTGACACTCCTTTCATAGTTTTTTGCTTGTTTTGTTTTTGTTTTTCGTGGGGGTTTTTTGGTAAAATGGGGTAACAAAGCAGACATCTCATAGGACTGTTCAGAGGGTAAATGAGGAAATTGTAAGCAGGTGGTCACAAATACTAGAAATACTTTTACATTCATGCTTAATTATTGTCCAAGGAAAATAGCAGCATAGATGCCTGAGCAACTTTCAATTCTTTCAAGTAGCTATTTTTCTGGAATGTAACAATTAATGCTAGTAGTTTTTTTTTAAAAATTCAGGTAGCAGGGCATGATGGTTAAGATGCTGGACTCCCACATGGCCAACCACGGTTCAAGTCCTGAACCTGGTGGCTTGCTTTCTCACTTTCCTTCTCTTTGATCAAATTAAAATAATAAGAAGAATTAAAGTTAAATAAATTTTTTAAATATTCAGATAGTATTTATTATAAACTGTAGAACTCACAAACCGTGACCAGCCATCGTCCTATTTGAGGATATTTCCCAGCTGCCAGTTACCTCTAAGATGTCACAGTACTCTCAAATTGTACCTCAGGGTCTGCAGTTCCCTTTATTAGTACATCAGGTTTAAGTTCGTTGGCTTTTTCAAAGCTTTCATGGCCTATAAACAGATGGATAAACATGAAATTCCAAGTTAGGGCAAAGGCCTTCTTCCTGCAAGGCTGTGACAGTTTGATGAATTGTCCTGCTGTTTCTAAATAGGTGTTGTTAATCATGCAAGAAGAACTGGTCTCTGAACTAGGGGCTAGCTGCGTACGTGTCTGGGCTTGAGTTAGTAAGGGAGAAAGATACCAAAGAGTGTTCTCAAGTATAGGCAGTGACAATACAGTGATCAGTATATACATGTAGTTGACCTTTGAGCACAGGTTTGAAGTGAGTGAGTCCACAGATATATGGATTTTATCCAGTAGGTATATTGGAAAATGCAGTACAGTACTGCAACGTGTCTGGTCTTTTTTTGGAGTGGGGAGAAGTTGTGTACACTCATTAGAGGGAGAGGCAGAGGCAGAGGGAGAAGGAGAAAGCACCTTCCTAATGGGGCATGGTCACACAGCAATCCCTTCTTCATCGTTCCCTCCTTTTGGGACTTTGGGCATGCAAATATACATGCCCGGAGTGTTTTTAAACTGGTCTGGAACTGGAACTGCATGGTTGGCTATGTGGGATCTGGCTGCCCTAACCATAGCCCACCTTATAATTTTCTTAATAACATTTTGTTTTTTTCTAGCTTACTTTATTGTAAGGATACAATATATAGTACATAAACACATTTTTATGTTATCGATAAGGCTTCTGGTCAATAGTAAGCTATTCGTAAAGTTTCTGGGGAGTCAGAGGTTATATGTGGATTTTCTACCGCACAGGGGCCAGTGCCTCTCTCATATTAAGTGTCAACTGTACATTATATATAAACAAAAGCACATAAATTTGGTTTTTGATACATAAGTAGAATTTCTTCATAGATAATTTCTAAATCTTTTAATTCAGTTTTTAATTTAAATGGAAGTGTTTATTAAAACACTTCAGATTTTGAGAAATGTTTGAGGAAATTTTTGTTTGGAGGGTGATTTGCTCATGCAGAAGCGAGCCGACGCCAACTGACTGAAGTCCTTTGTAGATCACTCCTACAGCGACAGCACCGAGATGGTGAAGATCATTGTGCACACTGTACAGAGTCAGGACCGGGTTCTCAAGGAGCTGTTTGGTCATCTGAGGTAGAAAAATTGCTTTCTTTCATATTGAAAGGTCAGCACATTTTTATCATGTTGCTTTCCAAGTGTAATGGCCCTCATTGGTAAATATACTGGGCTCAGGAAGAGTTTTGGTGGTACCGTGGGTAACTTGATCACAGCTGCATGTGCTTAGATGTTCTGTTCCTGGGCACTCCTGTGGAGATAGTCAGTCATGAACTGGTATGGTGCTTACTGTGACTCGTTTCCCCAGCTGGGTTTGGGAATAGTCATGTGAGCGATACGTGCATATCTGACGCTGATGTCATCTCTCCAGCAAGTTGTTGGGCTGTAAGCAGAAGATTATCGATCTTCTCCCCAAGGTGGAAGTGGCCCTCAGTGACATCAAAGAAGCTGACAGTGCTGTCATGTTTATGCAAGGAAAAAGGCAGAAAGAAATATGGCATCTCCTTAAAATTGCCTGTGTAAGTAATTACTAATGAGTGATTTAATATGACAGTGGGTTGCTGTTATTCCCTGCAAAAGAGATTTGTATCAGCATGAGCTGGATCCTCTTGGAGACCTATGCGTTTAGTGTTGAGTTGATGCCTCTGTTCTTTGCTTGGTGTCCGTCTAGCAATTGAAATGATCATCTTGCATTATCACTCTCCTTTCCAGTTCCTCTGTTTTTAATGCTCCTCCCAACCTTGGACCACTGCAGTTTCCCAACCCAGTTTGTGGGTAGATGAACTTGACTAGTCAGTAAAATCAACCCTTTGTTCAACTGCTTGTTTTTTTTTTTTTTAATAGTTATTTATTTAATTTTATCCTTTATTATTTTAATTTGATCAGAGAGAGGGGTGCACACAGAGAGAGAGAAAGAGAAAGTGAAAAAGCAAGCTGCTGGGTTTAGGACTCAAACTACACTTGGCCATGTGAGAATCCAATGCCTCAACCACCATGCCACCTGCTGATCCCTAACTGCTTGTTTTTTTTTTCCCCTCAACTAAAGTGATATTAGAGGGGTAATTACATTTGGTTTTAATCCATGAAGGAAGGAGCCAAGGACATAACAGAAGTAACATGTAACAGTATGAGTAGTTTTGTAGAGAACTACTGAATATGCATGTGAGTAGTGATGGAAACAAAATGTAATTTTGAGGAATGCAGTGAGAAATTGTGTAAATCAACAGGGTGCTTTCCTATAATCTTGATTTCTTTTTCCTTCAGACACAGAGTTCTGCCAGGTCCCTTGTAGGATCCAGTCTAGAAGGCACAGTAACCCCTCAGGCGTCAGCATGGCTGCCTCCAACCTCAGTAGAACGTGAACGTCCTCAGTCATGTGTGGTAACTCCTCAAGATGGGTGGGTTCACTTTGTAACGCTAGATGGTTGTGTGTCAGAGCAGGGGAGGAATGAGACAGCAGAGCAACAGTTCAGGCAGTCTTCAGAACACTTGAGTGTTGACTGTCCCGTCGCAATAACCTTGGGCAATGTCCTTGACTTGTTTAATGGTCAGATTTCCTTACTGTGAAATGGAATGCCATGTAGAAGTGCTGTAAAAGTTCAAAGTCAATATTTAGCAAGTGCTGCTTAGCTCGATCGAGGTTCTAAGTCCTCTCTTACTGGCTTATCAATTTCATTTACCCAAACCTTATTCCTTCCTTAATCATTTATGTCTCTGTAGGAAGGTATGCTGTCTTTTTTGCATTTCTCATTATAGAGTCCTTGATTACCCTTCTAATAAATTGTTGAGATGCACTGTTATTTTATAACTTAGTATTCCTAAAAACGTACTCCTTTCAATGGCTTAGATCAGTTTTGCAAATAAGAGCTCCAGTTTAAAGCCGCATACTTTGTTTTATTAATTTGTACACGTCTGCTAAAAGCTGAATGACTGTCCATTTCTGTTATTTTCTCAGCATAAGATGTGCCGTACCCAGGGCCAGTGGCTCTTTGCTAGCTTGTGTATTGTCGCTTTTCTCACAACTCATGGAGACCTCTGCGGCCCCAGCATTTCCTGGACGTGCTGCCCCTAATTAGTTTTGCAGGAGTGCAGCCGTGTGACGTCGTGCAGTTGCACATTCTGTACTCTACTTTTATGAGAGAAAAACTCATGGCAGGAAGGAAAGCTGGTATCAGGTATTTTACTTTTTTAAAGAAAGCAAGTTCCAGGGTGTATCTTGGGGTCACTGTAGATTTGGCCCAGTGAAAATATCTACAGCTATAGAGCAGTGCCATAATTAATTGACCTTAGGGAATATTCCATTAATCAGAGTGAAAAGAAGCACAACTTATTACTAACCTTTTTGCTTTCATTAGAGGCAGTTAGGTTTGTGAGGGGTTGCAAATGTCACCTCTATACAGGTAATTCCCAGTTAGAGGTTGTAGTTGTTTGCAAAACTGAATCTGACAGGTATTTTAAATATATTTTCTGGTAGGAAAAAATTATTATAAAGGAAAACCGATTTCAGTGATAATGTAGCCATGGTACTTAAGTACCAAAGATCAGGAACTGTGGCCTTAATTGTTCCATCTATTGATTAAGAGTCGGATCAGGATTTAGATGCTAAGATAAGAGTGGCTACCTTACATGGCCTAGAACTGTAGAACTGACTCCAGTAGAGTAGGGGCTGGTGGTCAGTGAAGGGTGGGCATAGTGGCCATGTGGAAGAGGAATGCATGAGGATGGAGACCAGAGTCAGGATCTCGTTCGAATACAAACTTCCAGGGATACTTCTTGGTTCTGGGCAGCTCCTCTGTCATGGTTTTCTCGTGCGGTCCTCAGGCACCAGCTTGCTTGTTTTCCTTTTCATTGCTGTCATCTGCCGTGTCCAGCTAGTTTTTCACTTTCCCTGATCTCTGCAGAACAGATTGTACTCTTGTATCCTCTCCCTTACATTATGTCTGTGAAGTAAGCATGCTGGTGCTTTTATTAATAGTGAGGGAAATTTCCAGAAACAAAAAAGAGATATTTCATCTGTCTATGACATGTGAATTATTCCTCCCATCCTCCGACAGTTAACATTTTTAGCAGGGATAAGAAGTTGTATGTAAGTGCCACTTACATTTCAGAGGAATATCAGTCATGTTACAGTGGATTTCTTGTCATTCATGTGAGGCAGAGGCAGCAGCTTGTATTAGACAGGACTCTGCCTCTTGGTGGGAGGAGTGAGGAAACTGAAGACTGCAGGAGTCACCTTCAGTGTGAGGTGCTGGGCTACAGGAGGGTCATGATCATCCTGACCAAAAAGACCAGGAAGTAGAGGAAATTCAGTGCCTCTTTGCTTTGTTCTTTAATCCCACAGGGAGACTTTAGCACAAATGATAGAAGAAAACTTGAACTGTCTTGGCCATTTAAGCACTATTATTCATGAAGCAAGTGAGGAACAGAGAAATAGTATGATGGTAAGTTTCGTATGACAGGGGGCATGTGCTTTAGGTATACTGTGTGCCGGGGTGTAGCTTTCTACGCTAGCCTTACCTAGCATTCAGGTCACACATGAGGAATAGAAGAGCTCGGAGGAAGGAGCATTGGGAAAGTATCTGCAACCTCAGATCTCCATCTTCTGTTATCAGGAATGTACTGGGATTATGTAATCAATAATCTGCAACAGTAGCATTTTTGGTCAAATTAAATTGAGTAGTAAGTTTTCTTTACACTGTGACCATAGAAGTGGAATAGTCATATCTTTTTGCTTCAGCAATCATTTTCTTCAATAAAATGAGATTTGTACTATAATTTAAAAAAAATAATTATTTCATTTTATTTACCATAATCATCATCATTATTTTAGTTTAACAGAGAGAGACAGGGGTGGGGGGGGGATTGAGAAAGCAAGCTGTCAGGCCTGGGACTCGAACTGTGGCTAAGCCAGGGGGGGGGCAGCTGCCAGGCCTGGTACTCGAACTGTGGCTAGCCATGTGGGAGTCCAGAACCTTAACCACCATGTCACCTGCTGGCCCCATGTACTATAATTTAAGTATAAGCCTCTTTGCTTAATGTGAAAAGGCTTTGTTTAATCCCATGGTGAGTGGGATTGTACCTATTGCGTATGAAATGAATTATGTTAATATAGCTGTAATGAATAAAAATGATCATATTAAGATTAGGTTACTATGGAACCAGCAGATGGCATAATGGTTACATCACTGGACTTCCAAGTAGTCGACTGTGGTTCGAGTCCCGGACCTGGTTCGAGACTGGACCAGGCGGGGGCATATGCATGTGTGCCCAAAATCCTGAGAGGAGAATGGAGAAGAAGGGATTGTGGCGTGACCATCCCTCTTGGCGGGAGTGTGATTTCTCGCTTTCTGTCTCTCAGACTCTCTCTGTCCTGCTGGCAAGCACATGTGCCTTATAGCAGAAATCTCTCTTGAAAAAAAAAAGAAAAGATTTGATTATTGTGAACTATTAATTTGTTTTAAACTTGGAGAAATTATTATAAAATGTTTACTAAATTAACTTTTACTATATTTAGTCTCAATGTCAACTCTTTGTATTTCTTCTTTAAGATAATTGTTTGCCTCAAAAACTTTCAATTATTTTTTGAAATTAGCAGAAAATAAGGTGAACTAAACTCTCTAATTAATAACATTTATTACTAATATATGTTAGATTTTTGATGTTTCAGCTTTCAATTATAAAATGTTAAAATACACAGAAATTTTCAAAAATGAACACTCATATACTTACTTATCACTTATACTCAACATCTGATTGTAACTTTTTCATGCCTGGTTTTAGAATCCTGACTGGAGTTGGTTAACAGAATGACTTGCCACTTGTTCACTCTCTCCATCCTCTGAAGCTGCTGCTGCACATGTTGGAAAATTGTTTTTCCCTCACGAAACCATCCTTCAGATACCAGTCAGTGGAAGAAATGGCTGTGATCAAAAACTATATGTGACTTCACAAGCACAATATTTTGATTTTGAGTAATTTTAACCTCTGAACAGATAGGATTTTATAAAAAGCCAATGGACTTATTTAAATATTTGTTTTACTACTACAGCTACTGAAGAGCATCATTGTTATCCATTTGTTTCCAAACGTGGTGAAACATTACTTTTGAGGAACCTTCATAAAGTTCATGGAAAATGGAATTAAAGTACAGGTTTTTTTTAAATTTTTTTATTTTTTGAGATGTTTTTGCTATAGGGCGTGTGCACTCGCCAGACAGACAGAGAGAGACAGAGAGATAGAAAGCGAGAAATCACCCCCCCAGAGGGGATGGCCACGCCACAATCCCTTCTCCTCCATTCTCCTCCCGGGATCTTGGGCACGCATGCACACGCACCCGGTGTGAGTTTAAGCCACCGGGTCCGAGACTCGAACCGCGGTTGACTACGTGGGAGTCCAGTGACATAGCCATTATGCTAACTGCTGGTCCCAAGTACAAGTTGATGCAAGAAAATTTTGAAATCAATGTAGTTTTGTGATAATACACATTTTCCATGAATGTTTTGAAGGCCTCCCTAGTATTTAACTGACCAAAAATAATTTCCAGAGCCAGCTTTGTGTCCTGGTGGTTAAGGCTGCCCTGTTTCATATGGCTGACTAGGCAGTTCAAGTCCTGGATCCAGAGGCTGGAGGAACATACCTGGCAGTGTATGGCCACAATCCTGAAAGGAGCAGGTGGAGGAGAAGGGATAGTGGTGTGACCGTTCCCCCTGAGGTGTGCTTTCTCCTCTCCCTGTGTCTGTGTCTCTCTGGCGAGAATATGCACCCTCTCGCAAAACAATAAAAATACCTTCTAAAGTTTTAACTTTGGGACATAAGCCAAATATATCAATAGTATTGTATGCAGGGAAGAAAAGCTCAACAAACATCCTTTTAAGTAAAGTTGTCTACTTATGTTTCTGTGGAAGAGACTTCTGACAAGTAAAATGATACTTCTTGAAGTTCCAAGCCTACCTCCTCGTGTTGTACTCAACAAGTGCTCTTCCTGGCATCGTAAGGAGGTGGTGTGATCCATTTTCTATTTTATTGCACATTTGACAGTGTCCCCTTACAGAAGGGATTGTGCATCTATCTGCACCTTTGACTCATACATCTTGTTAAATGTGCTATGTGTATATGTATTTAAGATGTACATTTAATAATATCAAAGAGAAGATGATTGTTAATTTATAATGTATTTGAAAGTTATATGTTTTTCATTTGTAAAAATGGGTAATTTGTTTAAACAATCTTTCCTGTCTTGTCATGCAAATGCATAAAGGTCTGCACTCCCTGTCTGTAATTGTATTCCAAAATTTAAAAAACCCTGAAAATAGGATTTTTATAAGCTTTGTGACCAAACTCATTTGCAAGTCTAATCTGAACTGACTCTGTTTACCCCATTTAGTATGAACATTCATTTATTTTGCTGCGAAAGTATTAATATGTTTGATTATTGCAGGTGGGGGTGCTGCCACAGACACTGTGAGGGTGATTATAGTATAGTATATATACTGAATTACTTTTCTAAAATCTGAAAATTTCATAATTCTGAAACATTTGACCTCAAGCATTTCAGATAAAGGATTGTGGATCTCATGAATGTATTGGGGTGGTTGGAAAAGTCATGACATGTTTTTGCATAGAAAAACAGAAAAAAGACATCATGACTTTTCTGACAACCCAATGTTATGTAATTTAGAAGGTATTTGTTTTAAAAAATGTGAAATGCTTTTGTATTCTAGACAATTTTTCACTTTGTATTAAATGATTTTTAAATTACTTTTTTAATCTATTCATTATAAAAATCAGATCGTAGCAGAATACTTGGATATGGCTTAGAAAGATATGAAGGTTTCATGAAGTGGAATTGGTACACAGAATAATGTAGTAGGCCCTCCATGCACTGTCCTTAGAAGTGAATCAGGACTTACAGTCAAGTCAGGACTGGGCAGCTTCTTTGACACTGTTTCCCCATGACGCATCCTGTCACCACCATGCCCTCCCTCATCTTGCTTGTAAACTGACATCATAGGCTCACTGTCCCCACTTCTGCTAGTCATGTCATTTTCCCAGCCACTGATTGTGAAACCTTAGGGCTGTCTTCTCCCATTTTTTTTAGTTATCAGTTACCACTGTTGCTCTAAAGATGGCAGTTCTATCCTTGTTAGTTGTTAGGCAGTTTCTCATTGTTTCTCTCTTTCTAGAAGTTTTCATAAATATTTATTAATTGGATACCAGCTGTTAAAAAGATACAGAGCTACATGGCAAGATCAGAAGCAGTTCACACAGGTAGTACAATGAAAGTGCCAATCTGAAATCTGCATGTTTTTTTAAAATATAATTATTTATTTTATTTTATTTATTCATTTATTTATTTTAATTTGACCAGAGAGAGACAGGGAGGGAGAGAATGAGAAAGCAAGCTGCCATGTCCAGGACTCGAACCCAGGTTAGCCATGTGGGAGTGTCCAGCATCTTAACCACCACGCCACCTGCTGTCCCTGAAATCTGCATATTGCAGGCCATCCAAACACTGGGATTATTAAAGGATTTTTTTTCTCAATGATTATGCATTTTATAAATAAAATAATCAGTAAAAGATTTTCTACTGATACAAGGTGGGGGCTATTCTGATGGCTTGTGTCTTGGGGGCTCAGGGCAGCATGGCCTTTGAAATTTGGGTAGGTGGTGTGAGTCAGAATAGACTAATAGTGAAATCACTTCAAACGCGCTTGCGATGGATGAGTGAGCCACCTCGTTTTTTTGTTGGGTGATAATTTTTCAAAGTTGAGTGGCACTTAGGAATTGTATACATTTAATTCTCTAACCTAAGCATATTATGGCTATCTAAGAGGATCAGAAAACATGGGCTGGAGTTATTCTTTCTGCTTTTGGAAAGGTATAATAGCTAAGCTCTGCAAATATCCTTTATCTGGGATAAGGTTCTATACATTCCTAGGTAATGACAATCAAATGAATCATATAGGGAAGTGAAGGTATTGAAGGGAGCTGGTAAAGTGGCCCAGAAAGGCTTGCTTTAATGAAGAATTGATTCTGTTTACCTCTTACCTCTGCTGCTACTACACTGTAACCTTTGGCCTGGCGTTTCCTAGCCATTTGACATCTCTGCTTTTGTTTGTCTCTGTTCTCAGCCATTCTGCCAATTTACTGGAGCTAACCACTGGTTTTCCATTTCCCTGCCCAAGAGGTTAGTTCACTAGCCTTTTAAGGCTTCTGTCATTATTACCTAACCTACTCTAAAGTGGGTACTTATTTCCATTACATTCCTCAGTCTCCCTCTCCCTTCTGCCCTTTTCCTTCGTCCTTTTTGTTAGGACATGTACATGGTGCAGAATTTTTGAAGAACAGAAGAATAAGTAGTGAAAAAGTCTCTGTCCTAGAACCAGCTTATTTCCCACAACAGCAGAAAATATGCTTCCCAAACTTTCAAAATCCAGCCAACCACACCACTCCTTTTCATCGCGCAAGGCTTCCTGGAAAGGAAAACGGGTACTGTTCTTTTTGGTCTCCCTGGAGGGCCTCCTACACACGCAGGCACTCGCGCGCGCACGCACACGCACATATGCACTCTCCACGCGCCCGTCGCTTAGCCTGTTCTGTTCCGGTGGCTTTCAAAAAGCCCTCTGGATCAGCATCTGGCGCATAATAGATCATTTTTAAAAATTAAAAAAAAACCTTGATGAGTGAATGATGCAGTTAGATGGCATAGCTAATTCTGCACTTAAACAGCACTTTTTCGCCGCAGGTCTAGTTGCGCCTAAACTGCAGATCCATGCCTTGAAATATACGTGCTTGCCACACGTAGGGCTCGCTGGAGACCACGAAAGCACAAACGGAACAGCTACCACACCGAGCGTGAGAGAGTGGGTGTTCTGCACAAGAGCAGACTGCCCAGTCTCTTGTCCTGCCTTCCCTGCCCCGACTTCCCTTCTCTTCCTGAGCTGTCAGATCTGAGAACTACGTCCCATTGCAGGAGACTGCGCGGCCGGGCGCCTGGGAGAATTTTGTCCCATCCGCTCCCCGTCTCTCTAGCCGCGGGGGGCGGGGGGAGTGGGCGGACGCGCCCGCGCAGCCGCAGTGCCGGCGAGTGGGCGGGGCCGGCGGGTGGCGCGGCCGCCGAGG